ACAGCGTGTTTCACCTTTACCAGCGCTTTCGATCTTTTGATATTTTTATAAGAAGCCAGCAGCGTCCCGCACACTCCATTACAGGTAGGGCTCTTACGGAAGCTCCACTACAAATTCTTCGTTATGGGCACCATTGTGTAGGTAGAGGTCTAGGCTGCGGAACTCCAGAAGCTGGCCGAGGCAGCTCGTCAGGAGCCCTCGTACCGCGACAATATTATTTCTTTCATGACATTGCGAATCACCATGATCCGAAATGAGCCCGGTAAGAAATTCTGGAGCTGCGGCAAGATTTCTTACCTCTCTTAGCGTATTCCCCTGGTCGAGCTATAAATGACTGCCACCTATCCTGGACCTTAAATCATCATCTTGATGACGAAATAATTAGACGATCAACTCCAACTCGAAAGTGAGGTCGCCTCCTTTCTCGACCCGCACTCCGCTGGGTTTTGGCAAAGGAGCATCAAGAAATTTTCTGAGCGTTGAAGACAAGTGGTGGACACTCATGGTAGATATAAGACCGGTCAGGAGTTGTAACAAAAAAGATAAAATTAAAATCAAAAATTTGAAAAAGTGTTGCAGGACTTTCTTTCCAACCTAATATTATATTACACCGTATACACATACCACGCACCAATACTTGCCTGTCGTATAATATCGCATGGAACTTGTTCTAGTCAGAGCTTTTAGTCCGATTGTGCGATGTCTGTAGAGAATTTCCTTGCCGAATCAATTTCGGAACTCTGCCATCCAGGCGAGCATCGATGCAATGGAGGTGAGATCGAAGACACAGATCGTGCCACTTTTCCGAGGTAACTATTGCTTTCTCAGGATCGAAGTGTATTCCCGTCAATCGCACCTGCGATGGCAATCTCGACTGCCCAGAAGGGGATGATGAGGGACCACTGTGCAAGGAATGCGAGGTGAGGCGAACGCCGTGCGAGTATAAGTGCGTCAATACACCTTTAGGTAAGTTGTGAAAGACTCTGATGACGACTTAAGCCTCTGATGACAGGACTTTCAGGCCTACGCCAAAGTTCACGTATACTTACATTTGTTAGTGTAGTGTATACGTAGTGATTACCGATTGTTTGAACCACATTTTTTATCGCATTTCCGCCCATAAGTTATCTCGGCGCCATGTGGCTCGGGGTGTGGCTCGGGGGGGGGGGGCAGTCGCCGCGCGCGATCTCTGCGGTTTTCTGTGTAAGCTCCTCTTCGCTAAATCGGGACTAAGCCTCGGGCAGGGAGGAGGAACTCCAGGATCATAGCAATTTTCATCTTCCCAAAGTTCCTGCCCACTCCTAGGCTTAGTACTACAGGGCGCGGACGAGCAGAGATCGCGCGCGGCGACTGCCCCCCCCGAGCCACATTGCGCCATCCTCCTTGATTGTCGCAATGTGGCTTCGGGGTTTCCGTGGGGGTACCAAGGAAAAAGCCAAGTATTTTTTTTCGGATGTTCTTATATAGTATATTAAGCACCTTGTTTTCGGTTCTCGTTGCATTTGTCCCCACGGTTCCGCTTTGAACCCGGACGAGTACACGTGTGCACAAAAGGATGAGTGTTCTACACCGGAAGGCAAGCAGTGTCAACATTACTGCGAAGATCGAACAGTCCTCGTAGGTTCCACTGCTGTTTAATCCACTGAGTCTGACACGCTCAATCGGCTATGAAGAGAGTGCCATATTTATGAAATAACAAAATAAACGGCCCTCAAAGGTTGACGTAGTGGCGCTTTGAGCGCTTGTTCGTTTCAATGCGAAGTGAAGACTCGTTTCAGTGCGCCTTACTTTGCGAGGACAAATGGTCAATTGCGGTGGCAGACATCGACGTTAATTAGTGGGCTGTGATCAGACGTCTGACAGGAAACTCCAAGCGGGGTGATAGGGTGTCAGCGCTATCGCAAAGTACGGGTGCATTCTGGTGGAAATGATCCAGTTCTGCATGAAACATCTCCTTTTCAAAAACGGGACTAAGGTTAGGCGGTTGAAACTCCAGGGTGTGTGAGCAATTTTGCTTTCCACACTGTTCCTGCCCCCACCGTTAGGCTTAGTTTCGTAGGATGCCCTCGTATCTTACAATAGCGCCAAGGTTCCAATAACCCTGCCGCGTGGGAACGGTGGACCCTATCATCACCGCTTGGGGTTTCTCGGCAAACTTTTGGCAGGAGCTTCTCAGCCATTGACATTCGGAAACTCTAAAGTCTGAAGCAAATGTTCTCGAGCAATCATCACCATTCAGGTATCGCTGTACATGCGCGCCGGGTTATCGGCTCGGCGCTGACGGACATAGCTGCCGAGTCGATCGCGACAACGAAGGCACGCTGTTTGTCGCGTTAGGCCATGAGGTATCCTGACCGATTTGCTGATCCATCCTTCCGTTCTATAACCTAAAACCAACTGAAGTTGAGGTCCGCACAATGCCGCTGTTCGAGTCGAGAACGTCTCATGAAGGCTACGAGACGGCACAGTCGCTCGGCTCTCATGGAGTCGTCCGTTCTATCGACTTTGTATGGAACCGACAACTCATCTACCTTGCAATTTCCAGTTCCGACCAGAGAGGCGAGGTGGTGAGTGAATAGGTTTTTCTTGCCAATTTCCATAGATGAAAACCTTTTAATGCGTTGCAGGCGGTGTCCGTTGGAGGCCTGTTGCGAGTGATTCGTGAAAACATCGTCGGCGTGGGACAAGTGGCAGTGGACTGGATGGGCAGTAACTTCTTCGTCACACAACGGTGTATGTTGTCTATCTTGCATTCATCAGAAGAACCTTTAGCTTCGATAAGATCTCCAACCTTTATTGTTCCTAGAGGTACAGCTTACTATACCCCATAGACTTAGCAAAAGAAGATCTTAACATACTTCAAGTGAGCAGTTCATTAACTTGGGATGGATTAAAAGCATGTATCCGGTGGTTCCTCAAATTCGCCACAATGCAACACATGAAGGAAGTCGGCCGTCTGCGTGACGTCAAGTGTCGCCGCGTGTAGCTGCCCGGCAGGAGATGGGTCTTTGAAACTCCGCATCTCTGGACGCATTCCCATATTCTCGACCGGGAGCGTTGGCGTCCAAAGACCGAGTCCAAGTAGCCCGTAAGCCCAAGGTGCCAGATCAGAGGCCGTGTGCAGCAGTGTCCGCCAGGATTTCCCGAACGGGTCGTGCGACCCTTACAAACCCGAACAGAGTAGTGACGCAGCTTTTGGGACACATCCCTGGCCGGACACCGCTGCACACGGCCTCTGTTCTGGCACCTTGGGCTTACGGGCTACTTGGACTCGGTATTTTGAACGTCGACGCTGCTCTCATCCATGATCTCTCTCCTCAATAGCTGGTCCTCGCCATGTAAGTTCATACGCTCAAACGTTTGCCACACTAAAAGTACTTACGCGCTCCCACACTGTTTGACTTTGGTTCTCTTGCTGGGGAAAGGAGAAATCATCTTTCAAAACTTATTTGCTTTTGTGCAATCAGTTCTTCATTTTCCACATTTACTTTGAACACATACAGACATCACAAATACTCAACTTCCTTGAGCAGTCCTGATTTCAATGGAAACAAGAAGATCTTCTCTCTCCTTCGATAAGAACCCCCACTGTACATACTAGTGTCCGATGCCACCCGCGCCCAGATTCTGTACTAGAGGCAAAGCTGTGCCTCAACAGCAAGAATGACCAGCACAAAAAAGCTGCCTTGAGCGTCTATACCCAGATCCTTTTCTTGGCTGCGATACGCAATCGACTTTCCTCTCAGAATCGTTGTGACCAGGCCATTGAAAAGCTGCATTTTGGTCTCCTTGATGACTAGGGTAATGCTTGCTTTTAATCCTTCAATCGTCGGCTTCTGATACTAATTTTTACACCAGCGGAGGAGGATAGGGCTTCGTTTGACCCTGCAAGGGATTCGACCCTTCATTTGACAATACGTGCGAATGTGGCACCCGCCGCAGCCCCCACTTCTCACAAACCATGAAGCAACTGTTTCCAATGGGTTTTGGAGGCTTGTGTTCATTGTTGGATGTGGTCTCTTGGAACTGTAGGTTGTGGGTGTTTCACCTAGTACCAATGCATTTGTTCCGTTTACTTTGTTGAAACAGCGCATTGAGTTAAGCATTGTTTGCTGGAAGGTTCCGAGTGCAAAAGCGTCTAATTACAGTTTCTCCAACTTTAGACCTGAACAAACCTCATGTCAAATCTCCTCTCTTTTGTTAGAATAGTCTCTTTGTTGACGTAAATATAAACAAATAACATTATTCACACTTACACATGTGATCAGATTGAGTGCTTGAGTACGACGCACTCTTGGTTCTCCCTATTTATACCGTGGATGTGCAGCCATTCTTACGGGGAGAGGGAGGGAAAGGGAAACAAACCACTGAAAGAGTAAGTTCAAAATCACTAATCAAGAATTTTTTGACCCTGCCCCTTCTTGATGGGGGACTTTCGATAGGAATCCCATCATCACCATCTGCCTAAAGGGGCGCCCTCAATGCAACCCCTACTTCTTACCCCGAATAAATTCGTCTAAATTATCGATAAATCCTCTAATTCTTCATTTCTTGCTTCTCGTGAAATTTCCGCCCTCTATTTCAGAAACCAGAAGCGTGTTGAGTGCAGACCACACACAACGAGTGACGACAAATCGTCACACACACAAACCCGTCAAACATAACCCAATCTGCCACCGTTACGACCCCTTCTCAGCTTCCAAATATACGACTTTCTTTGTACCACTTTTTGACCTTCATCACCCAGACCCCCTTCTCAAAAAAAAACCCAAACGCGACCCCCCCTCCCTCGTTGAAAAGTGCGCACCGCACGGTGGACCCTGTTCCTCCATGTTGCTCACCTGAGAAGGCGATGGCGTGAATTATACGCGAGGAATGAGAGGTCCCGGC